CTGGCAGGGAGCGTTTGCGCGAATATGGGGCTTTTTATTTTTTTACAGCGTTTTTGTTTGTTTGTCCGTTTTCCCATTATTTCATGAGCGCGAGGGAAGGTTCGCGGCGACTCTCGCAGTGCTTTAGGGGTCGCGTCTAGGCCCTGTCGTTTGCATGGCCTTTTTTTTTTTTCCCGTGTCTCGTGCGGCGATAGTCTCGTAAAGCATCAAAACGGAGCCCTCGTTCCCAAGCGAGCGCGCTGAGCGCTGCCTCTGCCTCCCTTGCAGGCCGGGCCGTGGCGGCGCTGGAGGGACGTGCGCGCTGGCTGCCGCGGGGGCCCCGCAGCGGCGCCCGGGAGCAGCCCCAGACCCAGCCGCGGGGTAAGGCTGAGCGTTGCGGGGGCTCTGACGCGTCCGACGCTTTAGCTCAAAAAGTAGAAAAAGTGCCGATAGTTCAAAAGATTCGGACCCCTTGTGAAAGCTTCATGAAATTTCTAGGTGCCCGTGTTGAGATGCATGTTAGTGCCCCTGATTTTCTGAGAAGGATTTCTGGTCTCTGATCCACACTGAAAAACTGAGCATTAAAATTAGCAGTAACGCTTTGGCTGTCAACAAACCCTGTAGTAAAATTTCTTCCTTGGAAATTTTCCAAGGATTTCACCTTCTAGTAGGTCATTTGAGGCTTGTCCAGTGCCCAGGCCCGCGCCGAGGCCCTCGGGCGTGCACGGGACCCAGCGGCGCGGCCCCACCAGCAGGGCTGGCGTTCAGGAGCGCAGGATGAGCTGAAGTCCTGCTGCATCCTCGGGCAGACCCGACCAGGCTCTGCAGGAGACAGCCCGAATCCCTGGCTGAGTTCAGGTTTATGAGAAGCTCAGGTACAGGTCAGGTTGTGAAACTTCTCAGCGCTAATAGATGAGGAGCGCCTATAGGGCCATAATCGGATAGCCTATATAACTGCTTGCCTTCTTGACCCACTGATACTAGATGAAAAGTACATGCAGCTGTGAAGTCTTCAGCATACAGCTGTGTTCAACACTTAGCAGAGTTGCATTGGATGAGACTAAGGGTGTCTTTAAGTGTTGTGTCCCCAGCGGTAGACAGTAAAGGAAGGCTCTTATGTTTTTGCAAAGGCCAATGGGAGCAGTGAGCAATGCCAAGTATCTAAGGAGAAATACAAAAAGAGGGTAAATGTTGAGTGTTTCTTTCCTAGACTCCTAGATTGTTTACTCCTTCTAATGCAGGAGCACTTTATTGTAGCCCACGCAGTTCCTGCTACCTCTGAAGGGAGCTTCTATTACTCCCTTTCCAGGCTGAAAGGGGCCTGGTCTGTCAAATTTTCTTATATGGAGTCATTCCACACCTCTGATCATCCTTTCAGCTTTCTCTGTACCTATTCTAGTTCCACTGTAATGATTTTCAAGATGAGGGGTCACTATTTCACATGCTCTTCAAAATGCTGGCGTCAGGGTTTCATGCAATGGCAAAATGATGCTTACGTGTGGGTCTGTGCGCCCTTCCTAATTATTGCTAATACGCTGTTTGCCTTTTTGACACTGAACGTTTTGTTGAAATGCTCTGTGAACCCCCGAGGACCAACTCCTCAGTTATTAGCCCCATAATGGTTGGCTCGGAGGCTTTTTACATGTAAACTAGAGTTGTTTCTTGCGTGCGTGTGTGTGTGTGTGTTGCTTTATATGCATAGGATTTCACTGGCTCTGTCATTGACTCGGTCTTTTGCAGCGCTTCCCATTTAGTCCTCTTATCTATGTTTTTGAATAACTTACTGTTGTCAGCAAATTAGATATCCAACCCATTTTCCAGATCATGATCAATCCACTAACCTGCACAGATCTTTGCAGGATGCATGCCATTGTTGGCTTTAAAAAAGAAAAGAAGATTCTTGCACTGTGAACTATATTATAACAGTACGTTGTGTATAGAAATTTTCCATTTTTATATTTTGTGTGTTCAAAAGTGGACGTGAAAATTAAGGGTTTAATCTTCGTCTACCAGCATCTGGTAGCTCCTACCTCCAGATAAGAAAAGAATCCTGCAGTTCATGATAAAGTTTAATTCTGCGATGTTCTAGTGCGGCATATTGGATTTTTTTTTCCAGTAGTTCCAATTGATATTTTAAAGTAATTTAATTTGATTAGGGAAATAAAATCACAGCAGTTTGGGAAGCCAAGTTCTGTAGATTTAATATTGCAAATATGTGCTCTGGGTGTCGCTGCTTGAGCAGGGGGTTGGACTAGATGATCTCCAGAGGTCCCTTTTGACCTCTACCATTCTGTGAAATATACAGGCCTTGGGTAAGACTTGGCTTCCCTTACCTGGCCTCAGTTTAATACATACTTGCAAGTTTTCAAAGTTGATGATGCCGTATTTCTTTTTGCTCCTTAACCAACTTTTTGTTTGTAACAGGCCGATCTACTTTAAGGGTACCTGGACACAAGCCTACAGACTGGGAGAAAAGGTTTTTGTTGTGGGCAGGCCATTTCAAAAAAGCAGAGGATATACCAGAGACTGTCTCGTAAGTGCCAGTTTTGAAGCTATAAAGGGGACAGTGTGTCTGCAGGAACGCTTTACTTGAGTGCAACTCCAGAACAGCTTTTCTTAAAGGGAGTAGGTTTTCTCGTCTGAAAAAAATGCACAGTACCAAGGACAGTTCTGATTTTTCCCCAGAAAAACTGATTATGTCGGAAACTGATAGAGTTAAAATCTCATGATGTTGTGATTGCTGCACTGTCCCGTAGATGAGGGAACCCAGGCAATTCTTGGAGAATTGTGGAGATGGATTTCTTTCAATATGTCACTTCTCTCATTAGAGAAACATCACAAATCAATTACTTTTATTCTGCTTCCCATCAAAAAACCTTATGGAAACATTAAGCCTTTTTTTTTTTTCCCCTAGTGTTTTTCATACTATGTAAAGGTCTGTTTTTCTGAAACTTTCGTGACTTAATTAAAGAATAACTGAAAATGTATAATTTAAAATACTTATCAATGAATGTCTGGAGGGTTGGAGGTTCCTAAGAAATAGTTAAAAGCCTCCCGAATGAAAATAAATCATTGTCAAAATCTCTCTTCTGCTGGTGGAGTCCTATTACCGATGCTTTGCTCTGTGTGAGATACGGGAAGTAAAACTGGCTGTTCTAGTTTATCTGCTACATACTCTAAAATTAAGATCAATTTTAACCAAAAAAGCAAAAGGGAACAAATATCAGTTAAAAAAAAATCCTGGTGATAGGATAGTTATTTTTGAAATTTTTAAAAATATATATAATGTTATTTTATATATATTATATATATGTTTAAAGGAAACAAACAAAAAACAGTTTACTTTGTGCTATTAAGGTAAACAAACTACGTAGCTGCCCTCTAAAGATAATTTATTTATCTGAATACAGTTTGTGGAATTGAAGAGCCATCTGTATCTTACATTTTTCTAAAATGTATCATAATTAATTAAATAGTTAAAATGATTACTCCGTTTTATATTAAAGCATTTGCTTAAGCCTTTATGTATTTCAAAAGTAATTTTAAATTATTAAAACCTATTAATTTTCAGCATGTATATTTTTAAGTGCAAGATAGCAGTCATGAATGTTTTTGAGAAGATAGCCATATCATGCTGAGGGAAGTCATTGGCTGAACATCTTAAATCATAGTTTGTTAGGAGAATGAAAAAGTTTATGTTAAAACATTATTCTTTTTTGCAAGTGCAAAAAAAATTCCTTCTCTCTACCTCCTTTTTTTTTCCCAAGCTTCATGTTACTTCACATATTATTAGCAAAATGTCATATATTAATAGCAAAACCAGTTCACTTGGAAGGTAAATTTAACTGCTAGTTCTGTACCTCATTAAGGTACTCTTTATGTTTGGAAATCTTATCCTCACATTCATACTTTGAAACAAAAGTATAATATTTCCAATTCTCCGGGCCTATGGGATTTTTACCAGCTTGAACTGTCGTGAATCCTTCAGGATTTTTTTTTTCTCCCCCAAGCTCAGGGGTCAAAACGTGACAGAAGATTCTGTATTCACTGGTGTTTGTATACAGTGATAGTCTCTTGATACTAGCCATGTTAGCTTTGACATCTAATTATCTGTTTCCTTTAAGTTTAAACAGGGAGAATATTAGATTTCCTCGAGAAGGGAATCTCTGCTTGAAATTCTTCAAGAAGCATTATATGTACAGAATATAGGTCTCTGGTTGTTTTGGAAAGCATCTGAAAATGTTGCACCTCATTGGCCCTTCTTGCACTGGTATCCCTAATATCAGCTTTAAATTTGCTATAACTGCAATGTAGTTTGTGTAGAATGATCTTCAGGGTTTAGCCCAGCATAAATGTCCTGTTGATACTTGTAGCTCATCCTATACTCAGTTGGAAGGCTTTAATGAGTGATATTGGAGCTGCTGGCATGTCTAGATAAACACACTGAAATATAAGAAATATTTAAAGGAGTCTTTTGTCCAAAACCAATACCAGAAAGCTGGCAGTGCTCCAGGCCTCCTCAGTGTGTTAGGAAAACAGATGACCTTAAGAAAACAAATTACCTTAAGCCTACGGTTCTGTTTACTTCAGCAGAGGGAAGTAGTAGGGTTTCTTTTATGAAATTCTATTAAGTCTGACAGTAGCCCATGTTATATTGGGCAGCCACTGTTAAACCTATGAATAGCATTACTGAATCCTGTAATAGGGGAAGCCTTCTTCCTGCAAAAGGAATAGACTACATCAGAAATTCCACTATTTTGAACCTCATGGTGTGGGGGGGAAAAAACCCTGCTAATCAAGGATAATGACTTCCTCTGCCTAAGATACTCTAACAGTTAAATGAAATGTATTTTATT